GCAACATCCATTGTTTTTTAACTTTTTAATAATAGCCATTCTGACTGGTATGAGATGATATCTCATTGTAGTTTGACTTACATCTCTCTGATGATTAGTGATGTTCAGCATTTTTCATGTTTGTTGGCTATTTGTATGTCTTCCTTTAAGAAATATCTGTTCATGCTCTAACTACTTTTTAGTGGGTTATTTTTTTTCCCTGTTATTATTTGAATTCCTTATAGATTCTGGATATTAGGACTTTGTCAGATTCATAATTTGAGAATATTTTCTCCCATTCTGTGGGTTGTCTCTTTACTTTGTTAATGGTTTCTTTTGCTCTCTCATGTTTAAGTCCTTGATCCATTTTGATATATACATATGAAGGTAGATAGAGATCTAGCATCATTTTTCGCATGTGGCTAGCTAGTTTTCCCAGCCCCGTTTGTTTACTAGGGTTTCCTTTCCTTAGTGTTTGTTTTGTGGGCCTTGTCAAAGATGAGTCATTTGTAGGTCAGCAGTTTTATTTCTGATTCTTTTTTCTGTTCCATTTGTTTGAGTGTCTGTTTTTGTACCAGTATCATGCTGTTTTGGTTACTGTAGCTTTGTAGTAAAGTTTGAAGTCTGACAGTATGATACTTCCAGCTTTATTCTTTTTGCTTAATATTGCTTTGGCTATTCTGTCTCTTTTTTGCTTCCATATGAATTTAAGTATTGTCTTTTCTACATTTATGAAAACTGATGCTGGTAGTTTGACAGAGATTGTGTTGACTCTGTTGATTGCTTTGGGTAGTATAGACATGTCAATAATATTGATTCTTCCATGAGCATAGGATATTTTTCCATTTGTTTGTATAGTCTTTGATTTCTTTCAGCAGTGTTTTATAATTCTCATTGTAGAAATCTTTCATCTCTGGTTATATTTCAAGGTATTTTATTTTATTGTGGCTATTGTGAGTGAAATTGTCAGTCTATTTGTTGTAGCTATATAAAAATGCTACTGATTTTTAGTGTTGATTTTGTATCATGAGACTTTTCTGAAGTCGTTAATTAGTGCTAGGAGATTTTTGGTAGAATCCTTTGTCTTTTCTAGGTATAGAACCATATCATCTGTGAAGATAGTTTAACTTCCTCTTTTCCTGTTTGAATACCTCTTATTTCTTCCTCTTACCTGATTGCCCTAGCTAGGACTTCCAGTACTATGTTAATCTTTAAAAATAATTGTTCTGTCATAGATTGAGTTTAATCTATTCTGATCCCTAGACATTCTCTAGAATTGCCTCTTGTTTGTCTTTTCTGTTTCCTTTGAGTACATTTTTCTCCCTGTACTTTGCTGCTGCCTTTCCACCCTCATGTCATTGCCATTCTCACACTTGCTGCAGCACTATTGTCACTGTTTCTGTCAGGCTGCCCCAGCCCGTGTTTTTCTGTACTCTGCCACAAGTTGTGTTTGTCTTGCAACTTTTTCATCTCATAATGCAAGTGAATTTTCGGGACAAGCTATAAATTAGCTCCTCGTTTTCCTGTGAGCTTTGTATGTACAACTCACAAAGCTGTTTTTGCTTGAACCATGGTAGCTGGACAGAGCAGTTTGTTTAAACTTGAAGTTAGGATTAGCTCAAATAATTACAAATGGCAAATGTTATGTTAAGCATGGTGTTAAGAAGCATGGGCGAGGCACAGTGGCTCATGCCAGTAATCCCAGCACTTTAGGAGACCAAGGTAGAAGGATCACTTTAGCCCCAGGAGTTTGAGACCAGCCTAAGCAGCGCAGCAAAACCTCATCTCTACAAAAATATCAGAAATATTATCTGGGCATAGTGGCATACACCTATAATCTCAGCCACTTGGGAAGCTGAAGCAGAAGGATCATCTGAGCCCAAGAGGTCAAAGCTGTGATTTGTGTCACTGCACACTAGCCTGGGCAAACAGAGTGAGGCCTCGACTCCAAAAAAAAAAAAAAAGCTGTGTGTCAGACATTGTGCGAGGCTCCAGGGACTGGGATTCCCTGCCCTTCTTTAACTCCTTGTCTGCTGGGAGCCAGATGAGCTCCCCAGCAGTAACACCAAGAAAAGCTAAGATCTAAAGATGTCTGATTTTGCCTTGGAGCAAAGGTCACACTTTTTTTTCAAAAGGAGTATTTATTAAATAATAGGTCTGTATTATTACAGTTTTAGAATATATTGTTAGGTAAAGTATAATACAATATATAACTAAAAATAAAATCCCTTAGCTATCAATATTTGGCTAAATCAAATGACATTAAATTCTGTTTAATTAGATCTTGATTCTTTTTTTAGTCCCCAGGAAAATTTGGTCTCTATCCCTTACTTACAGTTTTTGGAAAATGTTACAGTCCCAAGTACTCTGTGCTATACAGTTTCCTAATGAGCTGTTTTTAGCTCAAATATGAATGTAGCTAATGCCTTTGTTAAAATTTTGAGAACTGCTGGACTCTCCCTTTTATTCCTTAATCTTTCAGAATGGAAATCATGGTGGTATATCTTTCCTTTCAGAGTCTTGCTCTGATTTCTTCTCGGCTGTGAAATGCCTGTCTTTTTCAGGATACTACTCGCTTTCACTCTTCCCATCAGTATTCTTTTGCATTGAGTTATTCCTCCCTTCAACCTCTAGGAGCTCGATGCTTTTAACAGTCTTGTCTTTTTACTGGTAAAAAACTGGTTTTTATTTTTAAACAAATAGTTTTCCTCCTTTCAAATGCTTGAAAACACAGTCCCTCTGTATACTCTTGCTTGCCTGCCTCATGTTCCTCATTCTTCTAAGTAGTAATCTGATTTATATTCATGTCATCAGTTTACTGGTGTATTCAGGTTCTACTTTTAGTTCTTAGATCTGCTTGACTGATCAACAAATTGTGCTCTCTCAGATTTCCTTTGCTGTTGGCATTGAGTTCATCTTATCATCATTGTGTCTCTGTTTCTATGTTCTCTAGGGATTTGGTTGACTTAATAGTAGATGATCTGTTTTTAGACTTAATCATTCTGTTCTTTCGCTAAGGAATTTATTTTTGTAGGTATGACTGAATCAAGTAAAATTTCAAAATAAATGTTCTAAAAAGATAAGCAATTCCAAAAGCTAATCTTAGGTATATTTAAAGTATTTGAATTATTTAGAAAATTATATTACTCCTCTAGTTTTATAATCTTTATGTACGAAATGTAGAGTCACTGATTTGGTACAGTTATTGTTAAAACTTCAGAATGTTTCTGTTTATGAGCTGTAAATCTCATAGATACCTTAAAAGTGTTTTGGAGTGTTTAGCTTGTAGTTAATCATATATAGTATAAGTTAAGCAAGGTGTTAAGAAAGCCACTTTGTTGCTGCCGTTTTGTGTATCTTTATACAGACAATTCACTCTTTCTGGGGGTGGGGACTGAGTTGCAGGTTATGGTTTCTAAGACTGCCAACCTTGATAACATATGTGCTAGCCACTGCTTCTGAAGAGTGTCACACAGGTTGATTATCCCTAATTCTATCCAAAACTTTCTGAGTGCCAGTATGCTCAAAGGAAATGCCATTGGAGCATTTCAGATTTGGGACCAGATTAGGGATACTCATCAGTTATATATTTGCAAATATTCCAGGATCTTAAAAAATCTGAAATCCAAAACACTTTGGATAAGGGAGACTCAACCTGTAATATCAAGTGAGTATACATGAAAGCCTGTAAACCCAGAAACCTATGTAGATAATTGTTCCTGTTTGTGGTGACCACATAAAGCCTGTTTTACATTTGGAGAGTCTGTGCTTTTAGCTGTGAGTTAACTAAGCAAAATAAATAACTTTTTTCCTGCCTTACAAACTTATCAAAGCTAAGTTCACAAAGCTTGAAGGTCTTATTTATTCTTTGTGCCTCACATTATCAGTAACTTGACAAATTGAAGGTACTCTAACCTTCACTTAAAAACAAAACTGGACATTTTTAATTATCCTAAATGATTCGTAGCCTTTAGTCAAGGCCAATCTGTATTTAGGTGGATCAACAGCTGCTGATAAGGTTTAGGTATAGAAAAGACCTTTCTGCGATCATAACTTCTTTGTTTCCTTTCTGATAGAGACAGTGCACAATTTTACATCCTGAAAGAGCAACTGCACACTTAATTCGGTGACTTGATTAAAAGAGCAGGTCTTTTGGACATCTTGTTCTTCATGGCAAGATTTTTTTTTTTTAATCCCTGAAAAAGACATTGTGTTGGAAGCTGATTTAAAGCTGCGACAGTCTTCAGGAATGAGTAAATGGATAGGAGAACTTGGCACTGTACATTTAAGGGAATAAACAACTTGCTTGTTTGAAAGTGCTCTCGTTTCTGACTACCCTACAAGGTCTTTGTGTGTGTCATGTTCTATTGCATCATCAGAGTTTGGGCCAGTGAGATTTCCTCATCAAACTCAGAAAAAAGGAATATCTGCCATAAAATAGTCATCATAAACATTAACTTTAGTCTGAATTTCAACTTTTCCCCATTAAGTCTGTGGCTTTTAATTAAATCATATGTCTGTTATAGGATATATTTTCTTGCTTTTACATTGCTGGTTGCCTAAATAACAGTAGATCACTGACATTCCTTCAAGTAGCATAATAACATTATGACTAAGGAAATTTATGGGTAAAGAATTATTTTAATTGGAGTTGTATTAGGAATGTAAGGGTTCATTTGGTTTAGTGAAAGATATATATACTTAATTACTAAAATATTTGGTACAATTTTAAGTAGAAGAAATCTTTTACCCAATTGAAGTAATTGGACTTTAAGTTTTCATTGGTGCTGTCAGGTAGAAGTTATATGGTTAATATATTTATTTTAAAATAAATCTTTGCCTATATGAACAAGAAAACTGATATGAGAGTATCTAATAATAGTAGACATTGTTCCTAAAATAAATTTCATTACTATTCCTTAACTCTTTGTACTTTTGGGGGGGGCTGGAATCTGATCAGCAATAATAGCATTTCTTGAAGCAAATTATTATTTCAAGTTTTTTCTTTCCCCCCCCCCCAGATAATGGATTCATACCCGATTCACTTCTAGAAGATGTGATGAAGGCATTGGACCTTGTTTCAGATCCTGAATAGTAAGCTAAATAGAAAGTGTTATTTAGCCAACTCAAAAAGATTTCATTAGGTTTAAGGCACTTTGTACATTTTAGCCATTTTATTATCAAAATCTACATATTCAAAGCATAACAATTTATATAAAGATTTTGGAAGAAATCGAACTAGTTCAATTTATAGCAGAGACTTGACCTATTTTAAATGTTCTTTTCCCACCCTGCTTTAACGAAAAAAATGCAAAAAATATAGCTTTTTATCTTTAAACTTTGAATACAGTTTTTTCTCTTTGCAAGACTTTTCCATGTCTTAAAATGTTATATATGTCTATAGTAGCTTCAGTGAAAGTAATGATAGTTCTTCATAATGTAGATATTGCTAGATGCCGTACTTAAATAACCAATAGGCCTTTGACTTTCCCTCTTTAAAATGACCTGATACATTAAACATTTGTTTTTCTTTTCTCTATGTTGGGATACAGAAAACCTTAATAAGTTCTCCAGGTGATTTTAATGCAAAAAAACATTAAACGTTTCTAAATTATTAGCCTTTGACTTGAATGTCCCCTCTCAGGGTACATAAAAAGATTGCTGGTAATTATACAGGCCAAACATGCCAGTGCAGATTTTTCAAAAATGTTTGTTTCCTGAGGTTTTCCATTCAAATTGCATGAAAAGCAAATAAAGACTATAGACTGAAATATGCTCAATCAATTGAGAAGTGATATTCAGGAATCACAACTGCCTCCTTCCACGTCTTCATAGAGCGGTAGACTAGACAATAAATTACATATTATTGTGGGAGGAAGAAAAGGAGACTGCATTGTCTGCTCAAATAGAAAAATACCAGGCAGAAGACATCCAACAAATTACCATTGCACAACATGTGTCAATAAACCTGCAATGCATGCTGGTAACTGTTTCACATGTTAGAAAAATATGAGATATAAAATTTTGGTTGTTTTATCAAAACTAAGTTCCTCCATGTCCAAAATTTCATTATAAGCCAGATATCCATACAATAAAATAATTGGTTCCAGTGCTATACTATTTAATATGAGGTGATTTGTTTTTCACTATCTAGTTAAAAAGTGCAGTCGAGTTGCTGGTAGGTGAGCTGTGAGTTGTCTCCGAGTGCAAAGGGCTAATTAATTGATCTGAAACCTTTGCAAGTGTCTGCTGTATATTGCAGAATATAGTTTTTCAGTAATGCCTTAATATCTTGTCATTGTCTTCATTCTCACTGTTACGTTTTATGCATTATTACATCTACAACTTCTTTCATGGATTTGGATTCTTTAGTTATCATCCATGAGAAAATAACTCTCTTGTCAAGTGGATACGTGTATTGATCAAATATGGAAATAAAATCACCTAGGATCTATACTACTTTTTTTGGGGCATAACTTTTTTTCCTTCTGCAAGTTTTTTCTGACAATGAAAGCTTACAAAACAATGAAAAAATTCAGCAAAAGTAACAGGAAACATTGGCATACACAGTTTTTAGCATTTGGTCTCATTCTGTTTTTAAATGAGTTCAGGTATGCTTTCTTTGAAAGTATTCAGGACATACAAACATTTATAAGCTCATTACATTTGAATTAATATATCTCAGTCTTAACTGCATAGAGCTATGATTTTATTCATTCTCAATAGTTAGACATCGTTTTCAGCTTAAAGAGGAGAAACTCAAAGAGAATTGAACTGGTTCAATAAATGGTATATTTTTTCCAAACTGGCTTCCAAGTAGACCATCTTGTTGACACTGCTTTAATTTACAAAAGAGAATTGAACTCAAGTAATTTTGGTTACTGATGATTTTTAGACAGGGATGAGGAAAAAGAAAAAGTTAATTTTTTTTCAAATTCTTACAAAGCTATATATCATCTACCTAATTTTCCTTGTTTCATCAGGATGTATAGCATACTTTGAATTGTAAAGTTAGTGTAATTGATTCAGATTGTTTTTCTAGAAGTAACTGAAAAATTGGACTGGGTTATTAACTTTGTATTTTGGCCTAGTCACATTTATATTGTAGTATGTGATGGCCCTATCACAAACTAATAGTGTCATACTAAGGATTTACTAAATATATTAAATATAATGCAACCTTGCCTTCATTTATTTCATGTCATAGCCTCTTGGCCTTATTCAGAACCATTGAAATGTCACATCTTTTGTGTAGTACACTTAAAAGAGACATCCTGGCTATAGAATTAATTATGGCCATAGGACCACTCAGGCATCTCTAGAGCCAGTACTGCATGTCACTTAGCAGTATGGCCCAGAGTTTCCAGGAGACAAGGCTACCTCAGCACAGGTCCAGCTTTCATAAACCTTCAAACAAAGCTTGCTCTTACAAAAATAACTTAAATTCCTTTTATAAGGGAGCTGCTTGGTTACTGACCTAGACTGAATACAGGTATAAGAAACAGGGAGGGATGGATCTGCCAAACTCTGTGACAGTGTCTAGACTCATCTTTGATGCAAATCCCAAGGTAAGAAGTTGCCCCTGGGAATTTGGTTAACCAGAATCACCTGGAACCCCCAAACACAATACTTCGCATGTTGTGTATTTATATTATAGACTATGGGTATATTTAACTTAGCATTTATAGCTTGAGATAAAGAAAACTTTTCTGAAAAGACCATTTTCATTATTAAGACCCTTCCCAATGCAGTTTATTTTTCTCTGTCTTCATTCTAGTCACACATAACAACACCTATTCCCAGCTTAGGTACACTTACATAGTAAAGGCCATGCAAAGCCCTATTCACTTTAGCCTGCTGCTGGACCAACAAAGGATACTCCACTAACAGTCATTCACTATGGGTTAGTTCTTTGAGAATTATATTACCTCTTTAACCTTCAAGTTACATTGTCTTAAGAGTTTTAAGCCTCTATCTCATTTAGTTATTGAAAGTAAGGTTTTTAAGAGACATTTTTGATTATCTGATATACTACTGCTTTTTGACACTGTTTCCTTTTCTCTTTGGGGCTTGAAATAAACTTTTTTTAAAGTTAAATGCCTCATTTGATTGTTAAATTCAGCCATACCTATGAAGCAAAGAGCATGTGCCTTTGGGAAGCTACAAGCCTGTTTATAAGCCTTGGTTTTTAAATTACCTAATAAGGAACAATATTCCAAAGTCATCGTCATAATTTAAATTTTAAATAGTAACAGATTACTCTAGTTTAAAAATAACCAAGTGTTGGCAAATTAGATGTCATTCCTGTGTATTTGTCATTAGGGTTCTAAAAAGAGCAGCTCTTTGAATTTTTGGCAGTCGAATGTGTTATAGTACCCATAATTTAATATGAAAGAAGAAAAATAAGCTTTCTTTTTTTCCTTTGGTATCCACTGTTTTTCTTTCTTTCTCCCTATAGTATAAATCTCATGAAGAATAAATTAGATCCAGAAGGATTAGGAATCATATTATTGGGTCCATTTCTTCAAGAATTTTTTCCTGATCAGGTAACATAGTTGAGGAAATATATTTCTTGTTTTGTTCTATTGGGATAATCACCTGTGATTGTTTCAGCATTTTGTCTACTTCTTTAAAATGTTCTAACATGCAGATATGAAATGAGAAAACACTATTATGTAAAGACCTTCCCAGACAGAGAGGACAAATGGTATGTGTGTTTCAATATAGTAATGTAGTGCTTTGTGGGGGCAGGGGCACGGGGGGCAGAAGATCGTGCATACACCAGTCTATGCACATAATGATGAAGCAGATAAAATTCAAAAGTACATGGAAAAAAAGAGAGATTCTTTCTCCACTCCCACCTCCATTTTTCTTCTCTCAGGAAAGTATTGTTAATAGATTGGTATATATATGTTTAAAACTTAAAATACTGAAAAGAATGTGGAAGTGACTGTAGGGAGAAGGAGCTCCCACTAGCAAATCTAAGAACCAGGAGAATTTCACTTGAGTGGAAGAAAAGCCTTTATGTGGAGCTATGCTGTTTTATATTGAGGCATGTCTTCCATTTGGCTTTGATAAGTATTCCTATAGAATAGCATAGGAATCTGTGCTAGTCTCAGTACATTTAAATTATATCTGTGTCATTGGCATGCCAATTCTATATCCAACACCTGTCTTTTCTTCTTTGTTTCTTATCTAAGTAAAGGACTTTACCAGTAAATCGAATTATTTAGCTAGATAGTATCATGGTCATTTCATCAGATATCAATATGGTTTAAGCTGAAGTTAATAGTTTCAGTAGAAATGCCCATTTCAATTCATGCATTGACTCTTAGAAAAATTATTTAAAAGGACAGAGGAGAAATTTCAAGATGAAATTATTAAAATTCAGGATTAATGTTAATTTTATGTCTCAGATTTAAGTGATCTTTAACAGAGTAGACAGAGTGATTGGCAGCCAATTCTGGTTATTAAAAAAGAAAAAGTGGGCAAACCCCTTGGGTCCCCTCCTGCTCTGGGTGCTTTTCTGTCTTCTCAATAAATCCTACTTTCTCACCAAAAAAAAAAAAGAAAGAAAGAAAATGGTATTTCCTAAACCTATACTTATCTGTTGTGGTTTTTATGAGTAAAGTGAAGTAAAATTCAAAAAGTAACTGAAAATAATGCAGTATATGCTGTCATACTACTAAAACTTTGGTAAATGCTTCATGAAAAATTAGATATTATTTTCTGACTTTATTAGAAAGACTCTGGGGTGTGATCTTCCATTTGTTCACATTCCAACTACTCGGGTTTTCTTGAAAGTTTTTTTGGAATCTAGTATGTTTTAGATATCTTGATAAATATTTATTAAGTTGCAGCATTTTACTCATAAGCTTTGGAGCAATAATACTAATCTTACTCACAATTACTACATTTCAAGGCTGCTATGAGAAAATTTGATGCAAATTATTTATTAGTTATGAATATAATAAAAATAAATATTATATTTGTTTTTCATTTAACTTGGGGAAGATTTTGAAAAGTGTTTGGGAAGTATAAAAGTGATACAGTTACCAGCTCTTTTGGAAGCATATAGCTTACAGTGAGTTAATTATGTGATGCTACTTATAATTATTATAACAACATATTCGTTTAAAGAATTAATACTTTAATTATAGTATTCTTTGAGATAATAAAAGAGGGTTCTAGTCCTCTCCTCTTTGGCCTATAACAGACATTTCCACTTGGTTGTACTGTTTGTTCCCTCTGAGTTCACCTCTGAGTGCTTTCTTATTCCCTGCTGTTCTGATCACACTCTCCCCATAGATATAAGTGAGCCTTGTTTGTCTCATTGTGTCTGTATAGTTCATGCTTTTTTCTCAACCAAACATGTGATCCTGCTCTTGGTGACTTTTAGAGCAGTGGGTTCTCAGATTGTAGGCTCCATGAACGTGTTAGAAGTGGAAATTTTCAGCGTTCTCCCTAAACTCAGTGAATCAGAACCTTTGGGGCTGGGGCACAGCAGTCTGTTTTAACAAGGCCTGCAGGTGATTCCAGTGGAGGCCTGAGAACAGTGGCTTTACACTTAGTCCCATCCTATCAGAGCTGAGACTCTGTATCACAGATCTCTTCTGATCATGGCCCACATCACTTTCTCTGTAGCTACAAAATGCACAGTGACCCTGTCACTCATTTTGACCATTAGTCATATACTGCCTTGTGCCCAACAGATCAAATATAGTGGTAATTCACTAAATACTTATTTCATCAACTACAAATAAAGTTCCACAACTGGAGTCAGAAGGACAACCAGGAAAATGTTTTTATAATTTTGGTAATCTTTGCAAACACTTCAACTAGATGCCGTAGAAGAGCATCTCTTTGATGTGAGGTAGAGGCAGAAGCAGGGGGGGAAAGTGGGAACATTCATTAGCTTTTCAAGACAATTTGTTTAGAATAAGAGCAGCAGAAGCATCTCCCATTTAGTAAGTGTAGACCATACACCAAGTACTATGTGTCTCGTAATTTCAGTACTGTTTTTAACCCCATGTTGGTAATGGGGCAACTGAGGAGTAGAGAACTTAAAATTATTTAAGGTCATACAAGTAATAGTAAATGGCTGATTCAAGAGTCCAACACAGGTTTGTCTAACCCTAGAGTCTAAGCACTTTCCCACTGTTACTCTACCTTTTGTTGGTATTTCTGTATTTTATGCCAATTGTTAATTACTGGAAATAGAGAATATAAATTGCATTCAGTTATAAGAAAATGTTTCTTTAAGTTAGAATAGCTTAACTCTGACAATCAAGAGCCAAGTTATTTATTTAAGTAACTAATTGCATTGGCTCATGTATACATCTAAGAAGATGATCAATTATTGATTTTTCTATTTTGTGTAAGGCATTTTGAGTGGGATACAAAAAGTAAGAGCTTAGATTTTAGTTAGGAATACAAGACATGAAAAGTCAAATACAGCTCAAAAATTAAAGTCTTTCAAAGTGGCAATAGAAGAGATGTTACAAAGTAGTACTGTCTGAATTTCTCAGTTATTTAGAGGATTGTTTTAAAGGTTCCAAAGTAGTAAAGAACCCAACTGGTGTCTTCTGGGAAAACTTTACAGAAAAACTAAGATGTGATCCATGTCTGGAAAAATGAGAAAGGAGGAAGGAGAGTAGGACATTTTAGAAAGGAGTTAAAAAAAATCATGAATGTTCAAAGAGCCAACAAAAGGTCTTTTCACAGGAAAATGAGTCATATACTTGTCTAAAAACTTCAGAAAGGTGAGTAACTGGAGATAAGACTGAAAAGGTAGATTAAGTCCTGTGTTATTTCAGGATTCATGGTGGTAAGTCACAGGAAACCTGAACTGGCTTAAGTGAGGAGAAAATATATGAACAGGAGAAGTAGCTCAGACAAATTGAAGGTGGCGCTTGGAGCCTTAAAGTCTAGTGCAGGGGCCCTGAACACTACCAGGAGTCTCTCCACCTTCCATCTTCTCTCTCTAAAGTGGCTACGTTCTCTCAGCCCATCTTCTTCTAGGATCTGAAGCCACAGTTGCCAACAGCTCTCTTCCCTTTGTTCCAACTGGAAAAACTTCTAAGGAGAGACTCTGGCCCAGCTTGGGTCACATGCCCATCCCTGTATCCATCAGACATGGCCGGGAAGGTCGACCAAGGGGATAGGCACAGGCAGATTCGGCCATGGGACCTGAGGGGAAGTCACTGGGAACCAGGCACCTTCTGGGGCCAGAGCAGGAATGCAAGGTTAAGTGAGTTGAACTTGATCTTTAGTTAATTGAAAAGCAAAGTTAAGACAAGTGGGAATAACATGATTCATTTTTCTGTTTGTGACTTAGGGATATTCTTTCTTTACTGAATATTTTTATAATCTCTTTAAGCACTATATTTGTGTTTTAACTTCTCATAATACTCTCTTCACTAATCACACACTGACAATATTCAAATATATTATGGGATTTTTTTGGAATGGAACTCTTTACCTAATTCAATACTGTGAATCAAATTGGAATTATTGGTGTGTGTATGCTTATGGTCTGAGTAAAAGTGATACTACTGCTCTTACGTATTTATTGAGAGCAACAAGTTATTTATAAAGAGAAAAGGCAAAGGTTTTTTTGAAAATATTTGTTTTAGAAGCTTGTCCTTAAAAAAATGACAGTGATATATGTACATAGTTAAAGACGTAAAGTAAGCTAGTGCAGAAGAATGTATAATGGAAATCAATCTTCCCTACTTTCCAGTATCTTCTTTAGAGGCAACTATTTCAGCTTCAAGGCTTTCTGGTAGTTAACTCAATAAATCTAAGCTTTTTGTTTTACCAAATGATTCTCCAGTCAACAGATTGGGACTTAAGAAATTTGCATTTTACTGTCAATTGCTAATTAGAAATTGTCTGATATAAAGATATAATTTAAAGTTTTAATAGTATTTTATTTATAATAGGGCTCCAGTGGTCCAGAATCTTTTACTGTCTACCACTACAATGGATTGAAGCAATCAAATTATAATGAAAAGGTAGGATAATTCCATAGTAATTTGTCTTTAACTGGGTTGATGAAATAAATATATGTGTATAACCACGGTTGATTGCCAGTCAACTGCTACCTAAGGATTATTCCATGAGTCTCTTAAAACTGATCATCTTTCCATTTGACCAATATTTACTGGTGTACACTGCAGATCTGCATTGGACTTCAGAGCAATAGTTTCACCATGACAAAGTAACTACATCTGCATAAATATTGTTACCCTTGACTATGCAGTGTTTAAATCAACATTATAGTTCATCCAGTGAAGGTTGTTATTGATCCATTTAAATGAAGAAAGGGGTAACAGAGAGATTGATTGGTAAAAACACTTTAAAGGGTTAAAATAAATAACAATGGCTATGAGCTAACATTTATTGAGCATTTGCCAGGAATTTTGTTAAGTACTTTGTTTTATCCTAAGTTTCACACCACCTTATGAAGTAAGTATATTCTGTATATTCCCATTTTACAGAGGAGGAAACTGAAGCACAGAGAGGTAAGCAAATGGCCCCAGTCAAGCGCCAGGAGGTAGCAGAACTGGGGATGAAACTTAGGTAGTCAAGTTCAGAACCACGCTCTGAACACTGTGCTGCCTTCCTTTGTGCACCATTAACAAAAGCACCAGGTGATTCACTGCCAGGTGGACTCACCTGGTTTACAGCAAAAGTTTGGTTTCACCGATTCTCCCTTTTTGATTAAGTGTTCGCTTTGGGTACACATATGTTATGTTTGTTACGTCTGTGTTTATTCAAGTAACAGTCACAGCAGATATAGCTAATACTGGAAGGAATAATGCCTAATGTGTCTTTTTAATTTGATCTACCCATGCTGGTTTCATAGGTATCTAAATTGAGGATGACTACATAAAACAGATCATAATGTAAATTAAATACATAATTTTAGTTAGACCAAATTTATAAGGCTAAAACTTACTTTTTGTAACAGAATATAAATTAGACATTTTGTTAGCTCCAAAGATCTTTTCACTAGAATATAATTGAAATATATAGCAAAGAATATAAATTGTCAAAAAGAAAACTGGGATCCTATTTCCCAAAGTGTGGTAATGAGTGTTTAATCTATAGTTTGAAGTTTGTACAGCCATGTATTAGGAAGAAATTTATATAGTCACTATTCACCAACACAATCCCTGCAAGGTAGTTTAGTCAAATATTGTCCATATTTACAGATGAGGCATCTGAGACAGGGAGATTAAGTGACTCACCCAGGGTCACACAGCAAGTCATGGCAGAGCAGGGATTGGAACTGAGTTCCTGATTCCCAATCCTGTCCTTGGTCTGCTTGGCCACGCTACCTGTGTATAGTAAGTTTACAAATCATGCTTGTGGCAAGCGTCTGACAAACTAACAAAAAGATAAGAATAAAAGGTGAAATATTAACATGACAGTAGTATTTAACAGCTGTAAAGCAAATCATGTGTGTCATAGAGTCGCAGAAGTATAGCATATTGAAGTTATTCGGGAGCTAGAAATACAATAGGCCGCATAGTAAGGTACTGTTAAAAATAGCCAAGGTGCCGGGCTCGGTGGCTCAGCCCGTAATCCCGCGCCTTGGAAGGCTGAGGTGAGTGGATTGCCTGAGCCCGCGGGTTCGAGACCCACCTGGGCAACTTGGTGAGACCTCATCTCTACAATAAATAAAAAATTAGCCGGGCATTCTGGCGAATCAGAAGACTGAGGTGGAAGGATCACCGGAGCCCAGCAGATTGAGGCTGCGGTGGCCGGGAGCGGCCACTGCACTCCAGTCTGGGTGACAGAGTGAGACTCCAACTCAAAAAAAAAAAAAATAGCCAAGGAGAACAGACCAAAGGAGAACGCTGGAGAGTGGGATGGAGTCTGAGGATCTGGCAGCAAAGACTAGTTGAAGCCACTGGAGTACATCACAGGATCTTACCAAGCATTTCTGCTCTAATGCTGTGAGCATGCAAAGTTCTTTGTAAAAAATAGAGCCTGTTGTATTTGTTAAGTGCAGTAACTTGAGTTATATTTCTTGTAGTATAACTTCAGAAAAGGCCATTTTGCTTTGGGGAATTGAAAAGCAGGAGTTATAGTTAATAATATATTCATTTAATCAACACTAGATACTAGTATATTAACCAAAATAAATATGAAAAAATATGTATTTCACATTAAGGTATATCTTTAGAGTGTCCTGAAAAATGAGTAGGTTTATGAAACCAAATGATATCTAGTAATACAACATTCAATTTTTATATTTAATGTGTTTTTAAGGGAGCTGCCATTTAAGCCTATTAAAGTTGTTACTTTTGGCTCCTTGGTCAAATAACTGTTGACATTTATTTTGTAAGACCATAATTACCATCCTTGTATCAGCCAGTTAATGTGTAGGAATAATTATACATACTTTTTAAGAAGGCATTCTATATCTGTTCCTTTTAAATTATACATAGTTGAAATTTATCTTGTTACAAAAGAAATTAATGATTGAGGAGTGCTTTAATGTCCACAGTGAGCCATGGTAGTGAGTTAGGATTTTTGTTGGTGTGTTATGTTTAAAATACTTTTAAAACTTTTTCATTGTAAGAAATTAGAATAAAATTTTTCCTGGTATCCACCTGCCAGTTTATGGTTTATGTGCTCATTGCCACTGCATTTAAAGTACCTGGTTAGTTTTGGTCTGTCAACTCTTTCTACTATTTGCTTTCTATTTCTATCCTGACATCCTTTTTAACTTTTCCTCCATGACTTTTCATACTTTACAAAGTGTACCCATGAACTGCATTTCAGAAGTATTTAATACCATAATAGCAAATTCCGTTGACAAGCATGAAAACTGTTTTCATCTCTGGAATTCAGTACTGTAATTAAAAGAAGGTAAAATCCTCCTCAGAATATACAGCTATATTTCTAATAGCTTTCCATTTCATGGGGCAGTGAGTGTCCAAGTGCCTCAATATTAATGCAGTAGGATCTATCACATATAACCACAATAATTTAAAATTTCTTTCATGATATATATCATTTGAAAAATGATCTTTTACAGTAAGTCCCCAATATATGAACCTTCAAGTTGCGAACTTTCAATGATACAAGCATGCGTTTGCATCTCCAATCATATGTTAGTTCACATATCTGGCATACATTTTCACTTGCATGCATCCTCTACAAGTGGCTGTGTTTTTGTGTAATTTATAGTACTGTAAAGTACAGTAGTACAATATCTTTATTCAAGCCCAGGATGTCTGGAAGCAAACGTAAAAGCAGTGGCAATGTGGCTGGTACTGTCTAGCCAGATGTGTTAGTTGGGTACCTACGCTAACTTTGTTAAACTTATGAACAAATTGGGCTTATGAATGCACTCTCAAAACAGAACTCGTTTGTATGTAGGGGACTTACTGTATTAGAAACAGTCTATGTAAGTTTTACGAATCATACTGTTTTAAAATCATGATCTTGAACTTTAAAAATCACCTGATCAGCTGGCAATAAAATTTGTATCACCATCTCATTTATAAATTTATTTCAGTATCAGCTGAAATATCAATATCAATATCAGTAAGCAGCTATTCTTGTGTATAACTTCTATCAAAATGTAAAGTTCTGCATGAAATAGTATGTAATACCTTATTTGCTAGCCTATAAAAACTGTTTGCATCCTATATAAGAATTTGCTAAGAATATCAATTGACCTTGGTGGCTTTGTCATGTTCAACAGGTCATGTATGTAGAAGGGACTGCAGTTGTTATGGGTTTTGAAGATCCCATGCTGCAGACAGATGACACTCCTATTAAACGCTGTCTCCAAACCAAATGGCCATACATCGAACTACTCTGGACCACAGACCGCTCTCCTTCACTAAACTAATTTGCCTAAATATTTATAAGGAAGATCGTAATAACAGATGTTGAAAGAGGGATTCAAGACTGGCAATTGGCTAAATAAGCTTAACACTAGCATCATTGATTAACTGTAAATAACAGAAACACATTTTCAGTGTTTAAGATACATTAAATTATTCTAAAGTTTTATGTTAAAGATTATCCTGTTTTAACCCTTTGTGTGAAATTTACTAGCAAAATTAAGCTTTCAAAGTTCATCACTTTTGCAGTCAAGTAATTGGTGATTTACTTATCAAGTTACAGACCTAATACTATAGAATTTGTATATTGAGTATCAAAGTTATTTATAAACTTCTACTTAGGGGTTTAATTTTATTCAGGCATATTTTGCTGTTTGAATGATTCTGACCTGTAACGTATCAACCTCCACATTGAAATTCAGAAGAGTTAATTTTTGTTATTTCTTTTCTGAAATTTGTTTTTTGTTAGAAATATTGATAAATAACAAATTGTCAGCCCAGATCCTTTGAGAATTGACTTAACTCTGGCATGTTTACAACAGTAGAAGCTCTAAGAGAACATTACCATTTATTTCACAGGCATATAGGGAATGTATTTTATAAAATGATAGAAAAGAGAATCTGATAGTCTTAACACTGTTAACTTTTACTGTATTGCCAAATACACTTTTCCAAATTTGTCCTAACAGCCCTGTAAGCCAGCTTTCTTTTATATTTATAAATGTGATAAATGCATGAGAGCATCTGTTATTACATTAGTATATTGAATTATTTATTATGATCCTAGTTCATGGCCTAAATAAACACTTTTTTCTTTAACTGTACCCTTGCATTTTTTATATTAGTGGGTCAAAATAAGTACTACTTGTAAATGTTTCTCTCCAGCAGCCCTGAGAACACAGTATACAACAAAGCCCAATCGACTCACACAGGACCTTGAATAAGGGACCAGAGCCTGTGCTTATAAAGAGCTCTGCCGACTTGCTCAGCCAGCCAGCCAGAAGCATGGAGAACCTAGGTGGCTGCTGTCTAGACGAGTGAGCCTCGTCCCATTGACTTTAGAGAGAGAGATGCTTTATTCCGATAGGTTTGTTGCCCAGCAAGTGTTTGTTTTTTGTTTTTTTGACAGAGTCTCACTCTGTCACCCAGACTGGAGTGCAGTGGCACGCTCCTGGTCACCGCAGCCTCGACCTGCTGGGCTCCGGCGATCCTTCTGCTTCGGCCTTCCGAGTAGCCGGAATTACAGGCGTGTGCTACCACACCCCGCTTGCCCAGCAATTTGAAATCAGAACATCCAGAAATTTTTTCTTGCCTTCACTTGTGAAGTAGTCAATTGTTTAGTATCCCCTTATACATTTCAGAACTGAATGCTGCCTTCAGCTTTGTATTTCCTTTGTGAATCTCTGAGACTTTATTCATATACAACTATAATACAATAATTAAGTAGATTATAAGATAGAAAAAAGTGGCATGAGATTTTATATGTAACTTCTAGTAACATCCTGTTCAGGAGTATGATACTAATGACTAGAATTACAGCTGTAAAATGTCAGTGTTTTCGTTCTAATCTTGGCTACTTCCAAATATATATAAAATACATTATGCTAGAACTAATTTCTCAAATTCCAGTTTCATAATCCCAAAATCTATGTGAAACTCACTTCATAATCCTAGATTCCATAATGATGATGAAAAAGCATAGATTTTCTCATACACATTGAGACTACAAAATAGAACAGTCTTCTTACTGTTGCTACATAAAAATCTGTCCTAAAACTTCACGGTGTAAAACAATCATATTACATTCACATATATGTCACTCAGGAGTCCAGATAGGGCACACTGGGATGAATGGCTTTCTGCTTCCCATCCTGAACTCTCAGTGGCAAGATTTAGCGCCCGGGGGCTAGATCATCTGGAGGTGTCTTTGCTCACATCATAGACATGACTGGGCCCTTAGCTTGATACCATTGACAGATGCAGAACACTACATCAGATAACCATGGGCACACTTTCTTACCACATGCACGTGGGCCACTGACCAAAATAGATTATACACTGCAATTAAAGCAAGTCAAGGAAATCCCAAAAGAATAGAAATTAAGTAGCACGCTTCCAAATAACCCAGAGGTCAAAGAGAAATTGCAGTGGGAATTAGAACTTATTTTTTACAATGATAATGAAAATAAGTCATGGCAAAAATTTGGGGATATAATTAAAGCAGTACTTAGAAGGAAATGTACAGCTTTGAAAAATACTGTATATTAGAAAAGTAGAAAGTTTAGAAAGTGGAAATCTAAACTTTCATCCCAAAACAACAATCCCAAAATAAAGGGAAGTAAATAATAACAGAGCAGTATTCACATGCAAAAAAATGCATTTGGACCCCTATCTCACACCATTTGTAAAAATTAAAATAATTGTAAGAACTAACACTAAAACTTCTAGAAGAAAACATAAGAATAATTTTCATGACCTTGGGTTAGGCAACAGTTTATTAGAATACAAAAACACAAATGACAAAATAAATTGGACTTCATCAAAATTTAAAACTTGCGAGTGTCAGAGCACACCATCAAAGTGAAACGACAAACCATAGAATGGGAAAAATATTTGCAAATCATTTCTCAAAAGAATTTGTATACAATATAAAGAATTCACAACAACAATAAAAACTGAAAAATTATTTAGAGAGAGATTTCACCAGAGATGATAAACACATGGAAAAATGCTCAACATAATTGGTCCTTAGGGAAATACAAATCAAACCATGATACACCACTTCATAGTTATTAGGATGGCTAAAATTAAAAAGACAACAGCAAGTGTTGATGAAGATAGGGAGAAATTGGAACCCTCACAATTACATCTGTGGAGATGTAAAATGGTGAAGCCACTTTAGAAAACAGTCTTTACTTCCTCAAAAAGTTAAATACAGAGGTAGCATATGACCCAGTAATCCCAACTCCTTGTATATTACCAAGAGAAATGATGAAAATATTTGCACACAAAACTCATGTGAATGGACATAGCAGCATTGTACATAAAGTCAAAAAGTGGAAACCTATGTGTTCATCAACGGATGGATGGAAAGCCAAATGTAGAACAGATAATCTCTGGTTTAGAATTGTCTAGCTTTCAATTTTGACTTTACAGTAGGCTTGTTGAGGTATTAAATGCCTTTTCAATTTGATGACTTATTTAAAATTTCTGATGAGTTTTTCAGGGTGTAACCCCATCAAAGAATGAATTACACATTATAAGAGACCCTTGAAAGCAGTACGCTAAGAAGAGTCACAAAAGACATGCATAATTCCATTTATATGAAATGTCCAGACTAGGCAAACAGTGAGTAAGCAGTCACCAGGGGTTGGGATGAGGATGGAGTAAGATACTGGTATTGGGGAATGACTGCTGATGTGTATGGAGTTTCTTTTTAGGGTGATGCAATGCTCTAAACTGTGTGATGGTTGCTGTACAATTCTGAATGTACTAAAAGTCACTGAACTGAGAATAAAGGAGAAGCCAAGGAAACAAAGCAGATAGATGAGGGACCCTTCCCAAGAAAAGACGGAATTTATTAAAAAGTGTATTTATTCTAACATGTTTAAACTTCAGTCACCTTCAAAGTACTCTTCATTTGATGAAATATACCTATCAAAATGCTTTTTCCACTCCTCAAAACAGTTTTTGAACTCATCGATTTGGATGCCTTTGAGCGCTGCTGTCGTTTATTGTTTCACCTCTTCCACATTGACAAAATGTTTCTCTTTGAGGACTTTCTTCTTCTGAGGAAATAAAAAGTTCAAGGCAAGATCAGGTGAATAGGGAGGGTGGGGCACAGGGGTCATGGTCATGTTGTTTTTGGTCAAAAACTGGTGGTGAACATTCATCATGATGTGGGTAAATGTACTCATAAATCACCCATCATGAAATGGGCAAACATGTTGAAAGAATCACCAAAAAACATTCATTGTAGCTATACGCAGCCTCTCACAACAACGTTAGCTGATACACTGATGCCAGTGGGTTCCTAGAACACTTACCTAGTGGGGAAAGCCAGTACTACAAGGGGCCCACCCTCCAAAAAATAATTCCAGTTTTTTGGGGGTTGCCCCTCAAATAACATCTGTAGATAGTATACAAAAAGAATCTATACAAATATTTAGAATTCATAAGTGAATTCATCCAATTGCTGGATGTAAGTTCAGTATACAAATAAGATTATATTTTTATAGGCACGAAATAGAAAATTTTTAAAAATCATTTTCAGTAGCACCAATAGCCACCAAAGACCTAGGAATACATACAATAAGCAATGTGCAAAGTTCTACATGGAAAACTAGAAAGCACTGCTAAAAGACAAAGCAATAAATTAGTGGAGGAATATACCATGTTCATAGATTTGAAGATTCAATATTGTGAAGGTCAGTTCTTTCCAAACTGAGATGTAAATTCAATGAATTCCTAATCCAAGTCATGTTTTTTATTTGTGAAGATGATCTGATTTCTTCAATTTATGAAAATGAAAGAGACTGAAAGTAGCCAAGATACTTAAAGGGGAAAAACAAATTTGAAGGATTTAATGTGTCAGATTTTAACTTTTTGTATTAAGCTTCAGTAATTAAATGTGGTTTGGGTACAAAGACAGGTAAATCAATGGAGCAAAATGGTTCAGGAGCAGACTCACAAACACCTGATTGTCAACAAGGCCCAACTAAAGTTAAATAGGAAAAGGATGGGCTTGTCAATAACTAGTGTTAGTATTTGTTTGAAAATAATGGTTCTTAAATCTACTTCATTTTATACACAGAAATTAACGTGAAATGGATAATAATATGAAAAGTAAAATTATAAGTTCTAGAAGTGACCATAGAATAATATTTTGTGATTTTGCATTTAATATTTCTTAAAAAGTAAACAGAAAAAATGTTGTAAAAGGTTGATAGACCAGGTGTAGTGGCTCACACCTGTAATCCCAACACTTTGGGAGGCCAAGGCGGGAGGACAGCTTGAGCCAAGGAGTTCAAGACCAGCCTGGGCAACATCTGGTCTCTACAAAAAAAATCAAAAAATTAGGCAGACCTGTAGTCCCAGCTATTCAGAAGGCTGAGGAGGGAGGATCACCAGTGCCTGGAGGTTGAGACTGGTGAGCTGTGCTCATGCCACTGCACTCCGACCTGGGTGACAGAATGAGACCCCAACTCAAAAAAAAAAAAAAAGTTGATAAATTGGACCTTATTAAGAATTTATATTCATTAAAAGACAACATTAAGAGCGTAGAGAGGCAATATGAGACCAGAAAATGATATCTTCATTTTATATGTATATGAGACAAAGAACAAATATCTAGAATATATAAAGAACTCCTACCAATAAAAAACAAAAAACAAAAAACAAAAACCCAGATTTTAAAATGGGCAAAAGACTTGAATTGGCATGTCACAAAAGAGGAGATCCATATGATCTATAAGCATTGAGATGGTACTTAACTTCATTAGCCATCAAGAAAATGCAAATTAAAACTACAATGAGTTATTTGTCACACTTTCAACCAAATCAGCTAAAATTAAAAGGACCAATCATACAAAGTGTTGGGGACACTGGAAAAACTCATATATAGCTGTTGGGAGCTTAACTTGATGTAATACTCTGGGCAAAGCAATTTAGCCATATTGCCTGAAACTGAATATATCTATACCCCATGCTTCAGCAGCTCCATTACTAAGTTTATAATCAACAGAAATGACTATGTTCACCAAGTCATGTACACACATGTTCAGAGCCATTTTCTTCATAATAAACCCAAACCGGGAACAATAAA